TTTTATTTTTTTGGTTTTTGGCTCTACTGAAAACTCGTGTTTTGTCCTTTACATAAATACATACATAAACACTCACGCCTGTCACCCAGAGGGGTAGGCAGAGACTACAGACTTCCATTTGGCACGATCCTGCCACACCTCTCTCGCCTCCTTCACATCCATACACCTACGCATGCATGCTCGTCGGTTAAGGGTACTCCTAATTTGGCCCGTTTTCAATAAATCGCCAATTTGGTCGATAATTTTTCGCCTAGGACGTCCCTTTCCGACTCTGCCATTCACTTCTGCAACATAAATTTTCTTTGTCACTCTTTCCTCATCCATTCTTTCCACATGACCAAACCACCGAAGCATTCCTTTCTTAATCCTGGTCACAACATCATCTTCAAAACCACACTCTTCTCTTATCACACAATTTTTCACCCTGTCATTCAGATTCAGCCTTAACATACTCCTTAACGACCGCATTTCTACTGCATTTATTCTACTCTCGTGCTTCTTCTGCCATACCCAACTTTCACTACCATACGTTAAAGTAGGGACCAACACAGCATTGTGAATTACCATACGAGCCTTTTTTGACACATTTTGACTTTTCACAATAGAGTGCAGGGCTCCATTTACTCTGTTTCCTGCGTTCATTCGTCGTTCTATATCCTTATCATATCTCCCATCCCTGCTAAATACGCAACCCAAATATACAAACTCATCTACTTGCTCGATCAACTCCCCTTCTATTCTTATTTCACATATCGTTTTACTTTCATCTCTTTCAAAAACCATAATTTTTGTCTTACTTGCGTTCACTTTCATACCCCTTTCTTTTAATGATCTGTTCATTAATGTAACCATCATTTGCAACTCAGCCGCCGACGACGCAAGAGTAACTTGATCATCGGCGTACAAAAGGCATTTGATGGTGAACTCACCCATTCTTAATCCGCATTCTTCAACTTTCAAATTTTGCAAACAACTGTCCATAAATAGGTTGAACAACCATGGGGAAGCCACACAGCCCTGTCTGACACCTTTATGGATGCCAAACCAGTCCGAGTAGACCCCGCTGATCCTAACACAAGCACTAGAGTCCCTTTAAAGGGATTCCAATGCCTGTATCAAGCCAGCGCTCATCCCAAATGAGTTCAGTGTTTGCCATAGCACATTCCTATCCACTCTGTCATAGGCCTTCTCCAAGTCCATGAACGCACAAAAAACCTTTTGGTTTTTGGCCAAAAACTTCTCCGCGATCATGCGCATGGAGAAGACTTGATCTGCACATCCCATTCCCTTTCTAAATCCCGCTTGCACATCCCAAATTTTTTTCATCGGTTTCTTTCATGACCCTTTCAATTAGTACCTTGGCATACAGTTTTCCCACGATGCTAAGAAGGCTGATACCGCGGTAGTTTTTACAGTCCTGCTGCGACCCTTTTCCCTTATATACTGGGACTATCACGGCTTTGCACCAGTCTCTCGGTACCCGCTTCAGTTCCCAGCATAAATTAAACAAGGTGTGCAGCAGGCTGCCACCACTTCCTCTCCAGCCCTTAGCATTTCGAGTGAAACTCTATCATATCCGGCAGCCTTACCTGCTTTCATGCTTTTCATTGCTTTCATTATTTCATCTATACTTATCTCGCTACCTCCTTCCTCTTCTTTCGGAGTTCCTATTTCATTCAGTTCATACGTTGTCTCCTCACTCATAAACATGCTTTCAAAATATTCCTTCCATCTCTTTAAACTCAAAACTTCATCATTCAGAATATAGCCATTCTCATCTCTTATAGCATTCATTATAGGCTGTTTTGAACATCCCCTGGCAGTTCTTACGAGTTTCCAGAACATTTTAATATTTGCCTGGAAGTTATCCGATATTCTTCTATCATTCTTATCCGTTCTTTCTTGCTTTTTCCTTTCAACTACTTCTTTTACTCTTTTATTTAGATGTCTAAAGACTGCCTTTTTTCTTTCAAAATCATCATTCGTACCGCTAGAATTACCAGCCTCAGTTGCTAGTAAATCTAGCCATGCTCTCTTCTTTGCTTCAACTTCCGTACGTTTCTCATCATCCCACCATAACGTATTATTTTTCCTTTCATTCTTTCTTTTACTAACACCACATACTTCGGTAGCTGCATCTACTAAACCTTTCTTAACATTTTGCCATACATTCTCCAAGTCTAACTCATTCATACATAATTCATCCAAACCACTTACGTTTTCTTTCAGTCTACATTTAAACTTGTTTTTCTCACCTTCATCTTGTAATCTTTCTGTTCTAATACGCTGTAACGCAGTGGTAGACACAGATGACCGATGGCGCCACCGCCTGAATAGACCATTAATTCGGCATAAAACCAAAAAATGATCCGTTCCTACGTTTGACCCCCGGCAAACCCTTGTATCCACCACTGCGCCCCTCAATCTTTCATCCACAATTATGAAATTTATCATGCTTCTACATGTACACTTGGGAAAGAGGTGATGATAACCTCTTTCTCAAGTGTACATGTGAATCCTCTTGTGGCGAAAGAAATTGTTCGTCACAAAAAGATTCTTTTCCATACATACAGTGAGGAGGCTTTCACCATTCTCATTTATACTTTCATCACCAAACGTTCCCAATATCCTTTCATAACCAAGCCTCCTCACCCCAACTCTTCCATTAAAATCTCCTAGCATAACAACATTTTCATTTCCCTTACATTTCATTAATACCATCCTTTTGTCCTTTACGGCAATTGAAATTTCAGGTATCGGTATAATCTAATCCGTGATTACAAAAATTCCCGCGCAAAAAAGTCGCCGGTTAAGGTGTTTTATTTCTAACGTCAACAGGATAGTACCGCCATCTATCGGAATCCATAAAGTTTTTCTTGGCATTTTCCAGTCACCTCTTAAGACACTCACGAGACGATGAAGGAAGATGGTTTCTTACGCCACAACCACACTGCAGAAATCGATATATTTGAAATGTACCTACATGGAAATAAAACAATACACGGAAAACGTACAATTGCTCATATGAATTATAAGTAACTATTTATATTCAAATCTTTTTTCACAATAAATGGGCCACAAACACAGCTCGTAAAAATAAGCACCACGACCATTGTGTCAAGTTTTTCTTAAGATTTGTTTATATGTTTGACAACGTTATCATGAACCTGACTTGTTATGTCACGAATCAGAATGACGAGTATTCTCTCGTGACGTATGCGACGTGCAAGAGAAAATTTACGTTGTATTAAGAAACTTTGGAAGATATGCGAAAAAAGTAATAGAAAATAATTCACGTATTTACTTAGATAAAGAAAACTAACATAAGAATTTATAATATTTAAATGCAAACGGTACGCATTCGGGGGAGAGAATATGTAAGAAACCTATCAGATACCTTGGTATGATTCTGTTCATGAAATTCTTTTCAGATAATAAATAAGAAAAATATGCCAGAAGTTAATAAAAATACAAAACTTACAAGGTAGAACAGGCCGTCTGTTATAATACCTAAAATTTAGTTCAATTATAAGCAAAATTTAATAAAAACATAGACGTCGCTATTTACACATATAAGAATTTTTCCGCTGTGTGTAAAAAACATGAAAGGTATTCTTTAAAGTTGCGAAATACATTGTATTTTTAATAAATTATTTATTTTTATGATTTAATTAAGTACAGATATTTTAAAAAGAAAAGATCTGTAATAAAAATGTATTAGATATTCGTATCCTTCGCCCGTGTCATAAGAAATGCCAGAAAAATCTCATGGCTTTCCTACTATACCCACAGGAGAAAATGGGGCTGTAAGAACGAGAAAAGGCAGCAGCGTCAAATATGCTAGACGTCTGGTACTGGGATCCAAGCCCACTATGCATCACGATTAAGGCAAATCCTTCTTACGGCAGCGGTCTATTTCCAGCAGTGAACTTAGTTTTCCGCCATCATCTTATATGAATAATTAGAATAATGTTTAATTTATACATATAAAATGATGAACACAAGAAAAAACAATGTCTCATTTTACTTCAGCCATGACGCCTGAATATTGTATATATGGCTACGCTTATTTTAAGTACACAGAGACCTTATTATGTATTGGTCTTAGGCCAATTGGATTTCCGGAAAAAGATAGAAGAGAAAGAGACATTGATGTGTTACTTAACAGATTCGTCGAAGATGTACTAGGCACGATTGAAGCTAAAGGAGACGGGGATCAAATTAATAGACTGAATGAAATTCCAGTTGATAAGATACCTGATAGGTAACTGACGGACATACGATGATTTAAGAAAGAATCCTCCAACTTGCCCCTAAAACCTAACATATTCATTCATATAAATTCATTTGAAGGAAAAATGATGCCAAGGCTTTCCAATTTATTTGAGATTTTGTAACATAATTTGGGAGAGTTTTGAGAAATAAGTAAAAATAAATATAATCGAAATCTTAAATAAACTAATATCATAATATTTTCTTTTCAAACAATTTTTGAAATAGCCCCAATTCTGTTAGTATTGTTACGAGCTTGAGGTTCGTGACAATGAAAACTGCCGATTGAATTACCAAAATTAACACTTTAATCAACGAACAACAATTAAAACTTAAAAACACTAATAATTAATCACACTGATTCACTTTATTTCGCTCCGAAGCTTCACTTGTCTCGCCAAATTCAATACTGCCCCGATCGCGGCTATCAACGGCTTTATATAGCTTTTTTTATGGCTCTTCCACGAAAACATCCAGAATATTCCAGTAAATAAGGAACGACCAGGCGCAGAAAGTTTGAGTGTGGGGCTTCTAGAAAGCTTAGTTTTTCAATTCGATACTAGATGGCGCTGTTGGTTGAAAGATTAGTCATGGCATTTTCTGGAAAGCTCTCCTGGTTCTGTTACCCGACACTAGTTGGCGCTAGTGCCAGGTACCAGCCGTCAACTTAGACGCGCAACAGTATGTTTCCGTCAGCAACGAACAGATTATATACAAGTGTACTTAAAATTGTTATCAAATATTTTATTGGTAACAATGTTAAATAAATAATGCCACGACTGACTGGGCTTGTGCATTAATTAGGTCAATGATATATAAATTACAGATACTTCATGCTAAAACAACCTGCTAATCATTCTGTATTCAAAAGATGCCTCTCAAATAAAAATTGTAACTATAAATTCAATTTTGTCATAATATACAAATTAAATTTTTTGTATAGGATAAGGGTGACAAACTAGTAAACAGTTCACCTGTGGTGGATGGTGTAGAATATTATTGAGACTTACTCTTATACTAAATACCTGTATTACCTAAACATTTTATTCTGCAAATAAAGATTTTGACTTTGACTTTGGTAAGTGGATATGGCCCATAGATATCTATGTACATCTACCGTTGATAAAGAATCAACATGTAGGTGCAATATTGTGTGTGTGAAATGTGAATTAGATAATTAAATATATATGAAGCAAATATAATGCGAGTTCTTACCCCGGTCGCTAACATAAAACCGGTGGCTCTACCACGTTATTAGTTCTCAGGTTAGCCTTTTAATTGGTCTGAGCGGCGGTAGCTGGCCATATAATTGAGCTTTACGCGAGAAGGCAATGTTAACATAGACCAATCAATACGGGAGCCTAAGTGGCAATAACCTAGCCGTATGGCTTGAAGAACCGTCAAACGATGAGGAAAAGAGATTCCCGAGAGGCGGTTTCGTGTGAGCGCAGCGTTAGTCAACCCATAACTTAATGATGTAATGATCTGATGAAACGTGCCGGGAGTATATGGGTGCAGGGACACAGGAACGTTATGTTCAGCAATGGAAGAACCTTGCTGCAGCTATATAATAGTTGTATCACGAATGTGTCGGTTCAACCGGGGAAGTATCACGCATCATTCATTCATATATTTGCTTACAATAGCGCAAAAATGATGTGGGTGGTCTGAAAAGTTTCCGATTTTGCTACATATTCTATATAGTCTCCTTGTAACTCTACATACTTGTACCAGCGATGCTCCCATCTCTATAACCCACCCAAATAGTACTCGGCGTTTTTTAAACTGAAGAGATACGACGAAGGGATTCTTTTTAGCGGTAAACGCGCAAACTTGTATCTTCTGGGGATTAAACTGGACTAGATTTAGTCGCCCGCAGTCCGAAAGTTTATTCAACAGTTTAGTTAGTTTCTCCCGGTACTCAACGACGTTTTCCCGAGAAACTATATAAAGCATCACCAGTGCTGTCGTTCGCATAGTAATGTATGTTACCGGTTTGCAACATGTCACTGATATGCAGAAAAAACATCGTTGTTAACAGCATGTAGCCTTATGGAATACCAGCATTAACGGACTTTTAATCGGAGCATGCACCGTCTACTATGAACTTGATGTTCCGATCTGCAAGAAAACTAGTGATCCAATTGCACAATTTCTCGGAAAGTCCATTGGAAGCTTCGTAAGAAGCTTTTTGTGCCAAATCCGATCAAAGGCCTTCGCTATGTCCAAACTAATGGCCAACGCCACCCCCCTTGGACTCTATTGCCTCCGCCCATTTATGAATCAGGTAACCCAGAAGATCACCAGCCAATCGACCGCGACGGAAACCGTACTAGTGGTCACTAATCAGCTGGTGATCTTCAAGGTATCGCTAGATCTGGCTGTTAATAACGGACTCCATTATTTTAGAGAACCAGGAGGTGATGGCGATAGGCCTATAGTTGGATGGATCAGAGTGGTTACTTTTTTTAGGGAGCGGGTGCTCGAAAGCTGTCTTCCATAATTTAGGGACTACTTTTAGGAAGTAGGAGTACCGGAAAAGACGCGTTAGCATCGGTGCCCACGTCTCTCCGAAGCACACGTCTTCAGCACAATAGAGGGGACTCCATCAGACCCACTCGAGCGTTGGGTAAACAGCACATCCCGCATGGAGCACTCACCGCTGGATGGTCGGTGGTGTGTTTCCCCCGTCATGATCAAGATTCTAGTAGGACGCAATATTAGAGCCCAGCAAATCGGCTTAGTCCTTTGCGGCATAGACCAGTAGTATTTTCTGCTTAGTTGTCAAAATGAGTTGCTTACACTCTCATTAATGTTGCTGCCTCCAAGCAGCATTATCTATTTCTGGGCTACGATTTGAATGTTAAAGGACCGGTTTAATTAAAGGCTGTAAGGCATTTTATGTTATTTTTCATAAATTACTTTATTATCTGGTGGATAAGGTCATTTGTCATTTTTCATTATAAAAAAGGTATCTTGCACGAGATGCATCATCCGGTTCTACACAAAGATCACTGAAGCCTCAAAATAGTCTAAAAATAGCCTGAGCTGGAATATAATAGAAACTAGATCTAAGACAATAGGTGCACAATTATTCAAATGAGTTGAAAGGAACAGCGCTTAATATGCGATGCATCAAATCTAATAACGCGACCTCCAATGTGATCCTCGATCTATGGAAATTATTACAATTTAGTAATGCACCGGTTTGTAATATAACAAAAAGTTTTATTCACTGGCTACAATTTGTTATATTTAAGTAAGGCTATAAATCGTTAAGTTTCGATATAAGAAAATCCACTCCCCCATATCATCCCATAGGTGTCATAAGAACCGACAAACGGAAACAAACCAGGACATGGGCAGCATCTTCCTAATAACCTTTAACAAAACTTAATTTAATTTGCGGATTTTTACCATTAAGTGACTTGACGGCTACGTGACGCAGTGGCTTAGCATTAAATTGGTGCGCTGAGGGCCGCAGGTTCGTCAGTATTTTTTCCTTGTGTAATTTATGTTTGTGATCTGTCTACACGACACTGGAGAAAATCCTAGTGTGGTGGTAACGTTTTAAAAAAATTTTGTAGCGCATTTGTTATATTATTTGAATAATCTTTGTATATTAGCCCACGTCATAAAACAAAACTCTGGTATTAATTTATATTTTAAAAAGCCAATTTAATTGTTTTTATGCTGGACTGCTCTAGTTTGCCAACTCAATTATAGAAGAAAGAGATAGTTATTGATGTAGTTTTTTATTGAGGAGCTATAAATTTTAGCGTTTTTTTATTTTTAAACCAATTTTGAAACAGTCCAATATTTTTAGTACAAAATACTGATGCGTCGTCATCCCTGAGGATTTAGGTTATTATATTTTACACTGGTTTATGAGATCATAACCTTACCTCGGTCGAGCCAACCCATTTACGCTAGAGCATATTATGATCTATAAGGTTAAAGTTTTAAGTTACCTATTTATTTGGTCGGACGGGTGGTGGTAGGGGATTATGTGATTTAGCTTTAGGCGAGAGAGCTATGCTCAGGGATTTTCTGCGTGATAGAGTTCATAATGAAGATATCTGAAAAAGAACCCTAACAACCAACATAAGCCAATAGATACGCAAGCTTGAGTGGCAATAATCCGCCCATATGGCTTTAAGAACCGCCAGACGATTAGGAAGAGAGGTTCCTGAGAGGCAGCCTCGTGTGAGCGCAGCGTTAGACAACCCATCACTAAATGATGTGATAATCTGATGAAACCTGTAGAAAGTCTATAGATGCAGGAAGCCTTTGACCGCTATGTTCAGCAGCGGTAGGACCATGCTGCAGCTATGTAACAGCAATAGCACTTTCTTCCATAAACACTAGAGCAGCTCTCTCTGACTTTCTATCATCAGTTGATCTCCAGAGCATCGTCTTATACTTAACAGGGTCTAAAGCAAGTAGACGAGTTGTAATTTAATTATTTATTTAATTTTATATGGTCTTCGATTATCTTAATATCATCATCATCATCATTACAGCCCTTCTACAAGTCCTACAAGCCTACAAGTCCACTGCTGAACATAGGCCTCCCCCAAGTAATGCCACAAAGCACGGTCCTGAGCCACCTGCATCCATCGACTTCCTGCATGCCTTACCAGGTCGTCACTCCATCCATTATCTTAATAACGCCACAAAAATAGATCATATCCGACATCCGTTTGGCAGCATGGGTCATTATTCAGATAAAAAACGAATTTATAGCTTTATAATTGTGGATAGTAAAAATTAAAGATTATTTAATCACGGATTAGTATTTCTCTCGTTAAACATTTTAGAACAATCAATTAATAGAAAAAGACGTGCAAGGCTCGAGCCTCGGCTTAGTTTCAGAAAAGTTTAAAGCATGAGTCAAATCCAATAAATAATGCAAAACACAATTCGTTATATAATTTTTTTAGGTATTGGTTTTAATTTTTTCTTTATACATATGGTTAATAAAAACACCTATTTT